GAATAAGTTATTAAATCTAATGACTTACCACAGCCTTAGTAGATATTTCAGAATTAATCTTACACCCTAGCAATTTTTTTTGATAAAGGGCGGACTGTTTCAAAGTTAATGTGTTTTCATCTCGGAGATAATTTTTTGCTTCTTTATTCTTGGCCTTTCAATTCAAAAAGATTCGAATCATTACTGTTATGTAATATGATTACAAACGCGATTTACTAATAATATGTTACCTTTAAACTTAGTTTCTCCTTTTCAACTATTTTAACGCGATTTAATTTTTCTGCTCGTTCTTCATCCAATGTTTCACCTTTTTCATTTGCTTCTTCAAGAGAGACCTTATATTTGAAGTTCTAATAATATCTTCAATATATTCTAAGAGTCCGTCTTCATGTTCATTTGATGCTTTTGGGTTTCATCTGCGATATTAATTCAACTTCTCCCTAATCATTAATTTAAGCATAAAATTTTGATGATTTTAATACATTAATCATATACCTCATGATGAAACATAATAAATAATAAAAAGGGAACCTGAAAAATTAGAAATCGCTTATGATCCAAATCGATCCCTCTTTCTTTCAAAAGACTTTGTAAATTTAGTGTAATTGCTTTGTCGCCCATTTATGAAATACTTGCTTGCATTATTGCGAAATGCTTGACGCGAGATAAACAATTGAGGAACCTCATAATTATTCGAACCAGGCTATAATATTATTGAAATCGTGTAATTAATTTGATATTTTTTTTTTTTTTTTGGAAATTATTACTTTATTATATTTTGATACTTTACCAAATCAAGAATTTCGTCAAAATATATATCAACACTGCAAGCATCCAGATTTTCACATCCTTGTGATGAATGAATAAGTTCTGATAATTTGGCTTGCCTCATTTTATTTGCTCGATAACCAAATACAAATAAAAGCGCATCTATAACATTTGATTTCCCGAAACATTTGATCCGACAACAGCAGAAAATGACTTTTGATATTAAATTTTAATTATTAGAGAGTATCTCGTGATGCAACAAAGCTCCAAGAAAACAAATATATATATTATACCTTGTGAAACGGACCTATTTCCTGTTTACCAAAGTACGACTTAAAATTATTTAAGATCATTTTGCTGATAACAAACCGTTGTTTAACAGGAACCTCTTGCGTAGCTCTACCTAAGGAACTTGGAGTCTTTGGTAGAACAGACCCACTGTCAATAGAAACTCTAGTGTGAGAAACTAAAGTCATTATGAAATTATAATGGAAGAAAGTTATTGTTATTATAGAATAGAATTAAAAAAACAACTTATTGGACGCGTCAGTTCACTGAACTAGGGACGATGATTTTCTGCATTCAAAGAATTTTACAGGAAATCTCAGAATATGGTTATAAAAATGATAATTTTCAAAATTTTGGCCTGATTTAGGATTTGCAATCATCGTAATGCTGGCTGACATTAAGTTTGGCCAGAATTTGCGAATCGTAATGTTGAATTAACTTTTATCACATGCAGAATTCCATCCTTAATCACTGCAGAAACGTCACGCGTGCGATCATATATGTGATCACGTGTAAAATTCTAAATAGTCTACATTCAAAATGATTTGCTTTTATCTGTTTTGATGGCCTAGTCTTAACGTTAATAATATAAAAATTTTTTTCATTTTCAAAATTAAAAAATTTTTTTAAAATTCACAAAAAAAAAAAAAAGCATATAATCCAAATAATCCAAATATTAACACAAAAAGTATTCTTTATACTATCATTTTAAAATAAAATGGGAAAAATACATTATTCTCCTTTCAGCAATCAACAAATCAACAATATCCCGTTGAATATCATCTCGCGTGTGAAAAAACGCTTCTGCATCTCGTATCGAGGACTAAGGTATAACATTTAAATATTTATTTTTTTTTTTCGTATTTTGTGTTTATTTTCATTACGCTGTGAATTTAGTTGGATACAATTGTTCTGTAGAAACGAGAAAATAAATCCTGAATATCAGGTTGAGTTAAACTGTGATCTTGACATTATAAAATTCAAGATCAATTATTTAATATGAGAACGAATCAAAGCCAAATACGGAGTAAAAAAATGGTAAAATAAACTTTTTATCAATATACTTTTTTTACATCAAATAATCAATAATAATCACAAGTTAGTTTTGTACTTTCTCTAGTTGAAGGATAATTCGACATAGAGTTTTATCTCTAGACCAAGTGTTTATTATCAAAATAAAAGAAAGAATCTTTAAGTTCATAAACTCATATTTTCCTATTCATTTTTATAAATGATAAAATCACTTATATCGGTATACCAAAATTAAAATTTAAGAAAAATGTATATAATGAAAGGCATATATACAAGTTCTCACCACAAAATTATTATGAACACATTGCAAAGACAACCAACAGTTGGAAAAGTTGAACCCAAATATCATGTATGTGCTGGCCGGATTCGTTTTATTAGCTCACGTAATTAATTATGATGGAGTATCAATTTAAGACAACGTAGACTTATCTATTTTCAAAAACATCAATTGCAATAAAATGATCACGATTTCTTTGACGGATAATGTTTTCACGACCAAAATAGCAAGTTAGTTTTCGATGATTTGGGGAATCAAATACGACAAATATCATTAGAACGACAAAACCAAATTGATTTAGTCCCATCACAGAATGATTATGATGGTATAATCTACATCATAGATCAAACGATGATTTATAGCGAAATGACCGTTCCTTCATATTTTAGCAACATGTAAGATGTTGCTCATCAGGATGATGTGATAAATCGTTGGGAACTTTGCGGGAGGAAACTACAAAACAGGAGGATATGGAATTGTTAACAAAGTGAACTCGCTTGATGAGATGATTTTCAAAATTATACATCGCTCTGGATTCAATGAGAAGTAATGACAACTTTTACTGATGTAACTTCTAAACGAAATTCTGCGTAAAGCATTTAAAAACACTTCTTATTAATATTCGTAACATATAATTAGATATTTCTTTAGAATCATCATTATCGTTCAAACCGTTAGGTTTAAAATTTTTCTTTTGAAATTTACTACTTTATTTTAATTGACAGAATCAAAATTGTATTCTTAATGAGAAATAAAACAGATTTTTTTCCTGTGAGTTTTAATCTGTAATTTTAAATAAGATAAATAAATATAATTAAATTCCAAAAAAATTGAACATTATGATTGTGAATCAATCTAAATATTATTATCTTGGGTAGGAATCTTCAGCTTTCAAAAATGGTTAGGTAATGATATTCAAATTTAAAAATAGATCTAGTCTATTATACATTCCTTAAAGTAATTTGGTGGATTAAAGTTTTTTTTTTTTTTTTTTTTTGAATTTATTAGTCAAATGATTTAGACAAAGGTCAGAATTGTGATCTTCTAGACTGATGGGTATATATTTTAATCAAGGATGTACATAACGTGCGAAAATAGTAATAAAGAAGAGAAAATTTTTTGTGGAAAAAGAAGTGATCCATTCCTTAAACCCATAATCAAACCTCTGATGACCCTTTACCAAGAATAATAATTAAAAGAGTGTTCAAAGTAAAGAATCATGAAATAGCATATTCTTCTTAATCTTCAAAAGTCTACGATCCTGAATTTTTAATAATATTCAACGCTTAATATTTTTCAAAAATTTCAAATTTCCTCTTTTATCCAATAAACTATTTAAATTATTATATCCTTGATAATTATGAAAGAAAGTAATTAGTGTGGTGCACGATTCATCCAGCTTATAAAAAAAAGATTTTAATTCTTTCGCAAATCTTACATGACATATAAATATTTTTATCACGTAAAAATTTTTAGTGAATACTCAATAATAACCTCTCCAACTTTCTAAAATAGAAAATTAATCAATTTCGAATAAGATTATATGGATATTATATTTCATAAATTACGTACCCACGACGATTTTTGCTATCGATGTCAGAAGATATGTTAAAAGATTATGTATCGCGTAATGTTTTAGTTGAAAAAACTCCTGTAAATTATAACGCGACGTAAGACAAATTTTTGAATCACAATTTGCATGGTAGTAATACATTTAGTAATGAATTGATCATTAAAAAAAAATACAAATACCATTATTACTCCCATTTCTTCAATTATAACGTCTAAGATCAATCGGAAATGTAGAAATACCAAAATAAATGTTTAGAAACATGAATTTATTTTTCTCGCGAATTTTGACAAGAATTCTGTCAAGAATCGTATCCTTTCATCATTCTTAGCCACAACAACCCATTTTGCATGAGTCAAATTGAATATAAATAACCTATTCATTTTTTAAAAATTGAAAATTTTTGAAAAACTTACGTTTGTGATCCAATATTTTTGAGCTAACGATGTCGGTGTATTAATGATAAACTCTTTGTTGTCATCATCATATATACCAGTACCTTCCATTGCTGAAAGCATTCAATAATGTGAAAATTGTCTACGCCAGGAATAATATAACAATATCTATGACGGTTTCACAAAATAGAATAGAAAAGCCAATTACCAAAATCAGAACATGAAGATCTTTAAATACGAACGGTTGACTTTGTGAATAAGCAGTAACTTTCGGCACATATAGCTGCGATCGTTAGTTACATCACGACACCTATTGGAGTACATTTCCGTTCTCAGGCATTCCATCCTCCAAAAAAAATTTACCAGCAAATGTTTTACGTGCTCTCCAGCTGGATTTCAGATGCTGCTATACTAATTGAGCTCAAAATCGCTAAGGGTTCTCATAATAATTGAGAATGCGACCAACGCTGTTGTCGAGTAGTATTGTGCTGTAATGACGTCAAAAGTTCTAACTTCAAAGAAAATTGACGCGTAAATTTTAGCATTTCGACGCTTGGAGACAATTTTCTAAGACGTGTACGCATCTAGATCATTATTCATGTTCGAAGAGAATATAAGAGAAATTTCTAAAGAGAATTCGAAAGAGGCAGGCTTTGTTATTGAAGAATTATATAGAAAGAGCATTTTCAACTTTAGTATTTATCGGACATATAGGTTAGTATTATAATTTAAATTCCATTTGTTGCTCTTTGATCGTTATCTTTACGATTATTTTTCAATTTGTAATTAGATACACTATATGCGATAATACCCTGTGAGTATCATTCAGAGAGACGGTCATCAATTTATTTCTGTATATACTAATTTATATTTTATATGAAAAAGGTTTTGACAGGAATGGTAATTCTTTTTTTTTTCTTCCTCGAACAATCACTATCACAACTGTTATTATTGAACCATCGAGAGCAACCCTAAACTCACTCCATCGGTTTGATCAGATAAATACGAAAATTAAGCTAAAGAACATGGTATTTGTTATGGGCGTTTGATACAAATAAGAATAACATGCAAATGCATTTATTTTACTTATATTCAATATATTTATCGTATTATTTTATTATTTCCAATTGACATTTATTTTTACAGGGAAATCAGTAGAATATGAGCGTGCTTATTTTGAAACAGTTAAGCGTCGATAGACGCATCAGGTCATAAAAATTAAGTAGTATGATTGGCGCGCCTTTAAGATGATGTAGAATATTGGTTAGTGAAACAATTCGTATACAAATACAATGTTTCCATAACCACTTTAATGAAATTGACATTAAAATTTTCATACTTTAGGTCATCTGCTAAGGTAGCCAATCCGAAATGGAAGAATGCCGATAGACAAGAAAATAAATTCATTAGAATCTTTGGGATTCAACAGAGACTAATTAAATTCAGGCATTCACCTAAGGAAATTAATAGTTAATACTCAGATGAAGGAAA